AATAAGATCAAACAATAACGTAATTGTTCTAATATATTTATTAATTGCTTGAAAATAGATATTTCAATGTATGACTAAGCAGATAAAATAAATAGTTAATCCACAGTGCATGTATTAAATAATGTAATAGAGAAATAAATAAATAAACAAGCAATTATCATAGTATTGCAAGCAATCCATTGGTCCCCTATCGGTTAGAACCCCAGCAACATTCTGATGGGCCATCGGCCATTCAATTTTACCAGCGAAAGAATGACATGAATGAACTTATTTAATCTTTTTAGTTCTAAGTTTGTTTATATCATAGTAATGTGTTAAGTTTCCCTGCCTATTAAGGAAATTATGTTTATACAACAGATAATCAAAAGGTCCAATTTTCTCAGGATGAATAAGTATAACTAACGTTTCAACTTTTCTCTATTTTAAGTAAATTTGTTGGAAAAAATCTTTAAAAGTGATCTCAGGAAACAGTTTTTATGAACAGACAGACAGACACACATACAGACAGACTGAAGGAGACTCTTAAGTTTTTTTTTTAAACATCCCTGTGAACCAAAATATAACATATTCTAATGCAAGATTCTTAAAGAGAGGATAACTCTCAAATAAAAAATAAAGATGCTACATTTATGAACATTGTCATATATAATGTGAGTTGTACTTTCAGTTTAAAGATACCATTTATAGTCACAAAGAAGATAAGTAAAACAAGAGCCATGTCAACATGGCCATCCCCCGCCGAATGTGTTTGCTCATTGGAAGAATGTATATGTAGTAGAGCAGAATAATTCAATTTTAAGAGGTCTTTTGGTAGTGAAAACTGAAGTGATTACAGATTTGAAACCTATGTGATTACTGATGGCTGAAAATAACAAAGGACAATAACTGAAAAATAATGCAGGGTAGGTTATCATTCTTGTGTGCTGCACCCTCCTCAGTAAAGTCTATCCACCTATGAGGTTTTAAGTTGATACCTCAAATACTTTTTGAGATAAGCTCCGGACAAAATAGTATTAAAAAGTACAAAGGGCAATAACTCAAAAACCATATAGCGCAGAGTTATCAATTTGTGCACAGCATTCCTCTTCAATAAGATCTATCCACCTATGACATTTCATGTTGACATCTCAAACACTTTTTGAGTTATCCTCCACTCAGGTGAAAAATTAAGTATGAAAAATAACAAAGGGCAATAACTCAAAAATTATTAAAGGTAGAGTTATCATTCTTGTGCACTGCACACCTCCTGAGTGAGATCTATGCACCTATGAAGTTTCATGTTGATATCTCAAAGGCATTTTGAATTATAACAAAGGGCAATAACTCAAAAATTATGCAGGGTAGAGTTATCCTGAATACATGTGCTTTATGTTCCATCTGAATGATGAACTATAGGGAGATTTAGAAGAACCTTTGCGCCACTACTATCTTCAAAACTTTTCTCAAATTGTTCAATGTTGTTTAATGCTTCTTCGATTTCTTGAGATGCGGCTAACAACTCGGTGTCCAACTCGGTATCAGCCATTTCTTGCCCCTCCATACTGCCACTGGTAGATTTTGATGCAGTTACTTTGTTTAATGCGTTTGCGTTATCAGACATTGTTATTTGTTGCTCTATAGACATGGTGTTATAAGAGTTCAGTGACATTAGATTTTTATGTCCAACCAACTTAGCAACATGAAAGACTGGTACTTCATTCCTTTGTTGCTTTGAAACAGTTGTCTTCCTCCCACTGTGGTTAGTAAGTCTACCAGGCAGTTTGGCTTTCTCTGACATGACCTTTGCAATTGTTCCTAGCTTGTTTTTGTCCATCGCCGAATTCATGTAACAGCTTATGTCACTCTCTGGCTTGTAGTTAGGATTCAACCCAACATAAAACCTAGAGTCAGGGGTCTTCATCTTGTCTGGGCGCTTTTCTAAATATCGTTTGTACATTTCTACTGGAATGTCCTTGCTTCCTGCAAAGCACGTTCAAACATAGTAAAGTCAATACCATCTATATAAAACACAGTTTTTTCATAGTTGAAATGTTTGAGAAAATTTAAATTTAATTTGATTTAAATGAGCTGTTTTCAAAATTTAACACGAGCTGTGTATGTCCAGTCTATTTAGTAAATTGTTAGTATAGATTACGATTTTTACGATTTTCATATCATTTATAGGATCTACAACGTAAAAGTAAAACACTAATTTCATCGTTGTTTGTGCCGTGAGGAGGCAGTAAAAAGTCGCCCGTACATTCAATCAGAGATGATATATTTCCGATCCTTAAAGATCGTTCAGAACGACATTATAGTTGTGCTTGTGGTAATTTAGTTCTTTCTGTTCGGCTATTTTCTTGTTGGGTGGTTCCAGTATTGAATACTGTTGAATCACCCTAAGGATAAGTGGCCTGCTTTTTAAATTTGTCCTTTGACGTCTTATCTGTGATATGCAGGCTTCATAACCTCTGATCCCCTTTCAAAATTCCATTTTATTTAGTTCCGCCCATTGTTTTCTCGTTTATGGCACACGCATTTCTTTACTTGGGGACCATATGCCGCTTTTCATGGATGTAAAGTCCATGATAACCGCCATATGAACACATCTGCGGATGTTTAAAAATTCAAAATTGTACCAATTCATGTTAAATGTTGAATTCTGATTAAGCCGGTGCTAGAGTGCTTGGACGGTAGTTTGCACTTGACAATACCGTCCATGAACAGGCTCAATCAAACCGAGCTTGCAGCATTTTCAATTTTGTCGTGTCGGGCTTTCTTTATGGATTCTTATTTACTCTTTTTTATACATGATAAACTTTTACAAAACCGGGTAAATGCGAACATTTTTGGCAAAATCCCTGAGACACAAGCGATGCCGTTTCTTGTCTTATTCAACCTCTCTGTAAAAGCTTAGTATTCTCTCCCTGATGCAGTTCTGAGTAGCTCTGCATCTTCCCACAGCATTGTTTGATGCTCCTGTCTACCACGTAAACCAAAGTGAAGAATGCTGTTCAGCCTGGTAGTGTTAGACAAAGCTTTAGGCGTTTCTGTAAATTGATACAAATAAAGTAATCATATAACTGTAGGCAGTAAATCAGTTTCCATGCTATTGTATATCTGCCATAACTCATATTGAGATCGAAATAACTTCTGCTGGTTTTTTTGAATTTCTAGAATAACTAATGGTGACAACAATAAATTGATAATGATGACTGATTGACAGTTGTATTGATTGACATTCAAATGATACGTCACAGTTTTCATTACGTCACTTTTACTGTGGTAGTCTGTGTATAGTGTACATGAACGGAACAAGACATTTTAGTGATTTTATTGTGTGTTAATGTAGGATATTTAAATTTTAGTGGTTGTGGATTTCAGCAGTACAGATCATGGAACAGGTAAATGGTTTATTTATAAAAAAAAATTACTTGATCTACTGCAGACCTGTCATTCTATGTACATTGAAAATATAACATATGTGCTAAGAGCTATTAGATCTGATTTTATAAAGATAACATGGGCTATTTTCAGAATAATGCGTGATAAGACATAGCCTATTTAACTGATGGTCATTTACTTACCATTGACAAGAAGCCCATTTTGCTTCAATATTGCGATCTCTTCACCAGTGAATGGATCTGCACGATTTTTCTTGTTGCCTTTTCCGTGGGATTTGGATATTTTTCTTTAAAAAGTTTAAGTCGCAACCACATCACGGGTGTGCTTAAACGTATCACTGGTCGTGATGTTTGTGCCGTAATCGTGGTCCTTAATATATCTGTTGACACTGTCAAGAATGCTCCCCATACTGTTTGGCTCGTACTCGGAACCATCTACTTTTCTCAAGTTCATAAAAACCTTGGAAGCAACATATTCAGCTTAGTGTTTGGAATTTCTAAAATATCTCGTTCTTCTCCGTCAGTTTGAAACCAAGTAGATCAATCCGTTCATATCACTTTTGGTTTTCTTTATTGTATTATCGTTTTTCATAATTTCCACAAAAGCATAAGTGTCAGCTGGCTGTCCTTGTTCTTCGATTAGTTTATCTAAATTCGTCAAGCGATTCGCCAAAGATTTCAACGTCCTCTCGGCGGCCATTTTTTTGCGATGCGGTTGTCAGTTACGTAACATACATACGCGCGGACGTTCTGCCGTTACTGGACAACAGGTGCGTGATGACCGGAAATAGTCTCAATATGGGATTTTGGCCAATTTGGCACGTGCATTGTTTTTTTTTTAGGGGAAAGCATGCAAAGTTCGAATTACCAACTAAACTATACCTGTGGGTAGGTAGTTGGGGATTACGAATAACTAACTACTAGCTGGTAGATGGTTATATGAATATACAGCTACCAACTATACCTACCAAATTGACGCTCCAAGGGTGTATTATAATTATACACCTTTAGGTTTTTATCAATATCTAAGATTGGGCTATTTTTTGGTGCTTGATGAACCGGGCGCTTTAATTAATATTTCTTAAAGATAGTAAATAGATATGATAAAATAAAAAAAATCATTGCTGGCCAGCTAAGATATACTAGATTTTGTGTCCACTTGTTTTATATATAATATTATAGCCAAAGTGATTTTAGCTCCACATTGAAAATATTTATGGTTAGAGAAAAATGATATATTCTAATGTATTTATAACTGAGATAAAAATGAATACATGTCCCCGTTTGTTCCCTCCGATCCCGTGTCCTAGAGTATCCCGGTCTTCAAGTCAAGTCAAGTAAATTTTATTTATATGTCGGATTTATAAAACAATAAACATAATGATATATAAGCTCTGATTAACTATTTTTTTACATCCCCTACTTTCTAGAGTTTTTGATGAGAGTTCAGTACTGTACATATAAAAAAGGATCATATAATTCAAGTGATTACCAAGTATTATTTAGTTTCAATAATTTAACCTTTTTTGTTGTTTTTTTTTCTTTTACCGAAATAAACACTTATATATTTACTTTACACCACTTTTCGCTACTTTACGTACTTTAGGACATATTCGAGATGACAAAGATGTCTCCGTTTTGTTATTCGCAAATTACATAAGTAGAAAAAACAACTTTCCTTAGTCCTTGACAGGTTTTATTAAATTTAATACATGTCATCTCATTGAAATCTAAAAGTGACATGGATCGCATATTTAAGGTTTGTTTTGTTAATTTTCTGAAAGTGTGATTAAGTGAGCAAACGTACAGATTTGATATGCGAGAATTCGTACTCAATATAACTCGTACCCAAAACATACGGAACTGTGCTAGTGCTGTTTTAAATGTCATTTGTCGCTCTTGGAGGACCCCGGCTCGGTTAGCTTTGTACGCGCTGGGATCAAGGGTCACTGTTACTTTAAATAGAAAAATGGTTTCTGGAGGATAACATTAGTTAAGAATTTTTTACACAGTTGACTGATTGATACTCCATGAATTATAGGTTGAATTCAAATTTTGCTGCAGACCACTTCAATTTCCAAAATGTCAAAATTGCTGGAGGGAGGTATTAATTATAGCTCTAGTTATAACAAGTAGGGAGCATTTTAAACACTGGAATGCATGACCACTTTGTTTTTAGGGTTTAGGCCCCAGAGAGTGGATATAAATTGCACAATATAATATTTTACATAATATTATATAAAGACGGTAGCAAGAGTAGCCAAGACACCTCACCCCCCAGACACTTCACCCCTCAAATTTTGAAGACACTTCACCCCTTAAGACACTTCACCCCCCAAAATCAGTAAGACACTTCACCCCTCATCCATTTTTTTCTGTAAAGTAAATAAAACAAGTTGGTCAACAACAAATGCTTATATCTGTTTATATTTATTATTTTTAGTATTATTTGATTAAAATTTTTGCTTATTACCTTTATTTTTACTTAAAGTTTAAAGCTGATTTAGGTTAATTGGTTGTATTGCCAAATTATGATATATCACAGCACTTTCATCCATTTCATTTCCATTCATCAAATTTAGTGTTTTTTGCATGTCACCTTGTTTATTCAACATGTTGATTAGCTGTTTATTCAACAGTTATCTCATAATTGATTAGATAATTGAATTAAAATGGTATAATTGTATGAAAATTACATTTATTCTTAATAAATAAATTAAATAAATAAATAAAATGAATATAAATGAATATGAATGAATGAATCGGTTGCTTTATTAAATATAGTAAATATAAATTATTTATCATCATTATCAGACACAATTATCCTGCATTTAATACAAAGATCATTCATAACGTCATTTATTAAACAAATGAATAGCACCAGTTATGTAAATTAAGCACAAGGTTAAAGCACAAACCATCACCAAATGAACATAACTCAATGGTTATTATATGGTAAGGATCAAACTGAAAACAAACTTAAGTACCAAAACTTCAAGAATTAAATCAACTCAAAATTTATTAGACAATGGGTTAAAACAATAAACATACTCAATCACTATTGAATGTATTTAACATAATCTACATAAATAATTGGCATAATTGTTAAACACAAAATAAAAAAATGAGGGATGAAGTGTCTCAATCAAATTTCTTAAAATGAGGGGTGAACTGTCTGAGGGGTGAAGTGTCTGCAAAAAAGGACCTAGGGTGAAGTGTCTGGGGGGTGAAGTGTCTGTAAGCCATAAAGACAGTGTATTGAAATTAAAATATGTATGTGATGTTTGATGTTTTTAATCAATGTATTAAAGTTATTTATGCAAAAAGGAAACATATAATCAGCTGTTGAATATTCAGGTGACCTTAAAGGACCATGGGCCTCTTGTTAATTATTATATTTCCATTAGGATTTTTTGTTAAAGTTATGAACATTGTTACAAATGTCACAAAAGTTTGTTATTGCCTAATAGAACATTTACTGCTGGTATGAATATAATCTAAATAAATACTTTTGCTTGATGCTCATTGTTTATTTTCATTCACAGCTATCAGATCAAGAAAAAGAAATCGTCAAAGAAATTAGAAGAAAGAACTTTTACAGTGCTGGTAAATATTTTAACTTTGTAACTTTTTATGTTTCTTGTAAAAATACATTTTAAGCTCACCTGGGCACTTTGTATGTCAACAGATTTCCATTGTCCCCCGAAATCTACAATTTCTTTAGTTATAAGTAACAATTCATGCCTTTTTCCAGCGTCACCACAGGTCCAGATTACCAGACCCATTCCCAATGGCAAATATGCTTATAATCTTTTCCTAATCTTTGAAAAAAAATCCCAATTTAACTGAAGTTCCTGCTATCAAAGCTGATAAATTTGCATGAGCTCTTTCCAGTATGGTATAATTTTTAATTCAAATAATGCTTTGAATGATATTTGCATTGGTTGGAATAAACAATTTTGCAAGATTCAAAATACAAATGTACTATGCCAAAAGAGCATGAGGAGGTTTCGAAAGGTACCAAATATTTTTCCCAATTAAATGGCTAGGAAAAGCACTGCAATTCTCTTAAACCTCATTTCATCTGTTGACCATTAATCCCAAGGTGACCCTCTTCAAAGTTATTTAGATGATTATAGTCTAATGCATATAAACTTTCTGGACTCTTGAAATGAACACAAGGTTTTGGGTATGATATGAATTTGATATGGACTTTTTGGACTCTAGAAATGAAAATGAGGCTATATGGAGTTTGATATGGATTTGATATGGACTTTTTGGACTCTAGAAATGAAAATGAGGCTATATGGAATGTGATATGGATTTGATATAGACTTTTTGGACTCTGGAAATGTAATCAAGGCTAAATTGATTGTATTGGATCCAATACTGATTTCTCGTTAAAACAACCATCCGTCTGTCCGTTCGTCACAAAACTTTTCTGGTTAACTCCTCAAATAGTGTACAGGACATTGAGTAGTACCAAGTCTAGTTGTGCATATCATCAGCATTTTCCAGTTCAGTATATTTTGTCATTTTGGCCTTTCAATGGCAATGTGTAAATTACTTTCTTTGTTCACTTTACAATATTTTACTTTTAAATACATAAAAAAATTTCATGAAAATTAGCATGAATCTGGAGTTGTGCTGCTGTAAGGGATTTTAAATTCAAAGTAAAAGAAATTCAGCAAGTAAATTTAAGCTAAAGTCAGGATTTTTCAAACTACCTATTAAATGTTAATGATTTTATTTTTTTCAGTTGTTCCATTAAGTTTAGGTAACATAATTATCTGCAGAATGTTAATTGTTAGAGGTAAGTCATACATGTACATTGTATTTCAATCGGTAATTTTTGAAGTTCTGTACAATATATAGAGGATATTGAATGAGTGTAAGTTCAATATTGAATTTATTGCACGAGTTGAATAAAATTATAATATGCGAGCCTTAATAATTTCAGTAATGAACTTACACGAATTTAATATTCTATTTATCACATAACCAAAGTAAAGACTCCTTAAATTGAAAAAAAAAGTCATTTTTCATTGTAGTATAATATAATAGTATAACGCTAACATTTAGCGCATCTTTACACTATGTTTGTATAATGCTAATGATGTCACATCAAAATATATGCACAGCCGTGCAATACCATTTTTATGGAGTCACAAAATCGGGACGGAAATGTGATAAACTAACTGAGTGTGTGAAATCATACACCATAATGTTTAGGCTAACTTTTCATTTGGAGGTGAAATAGTAATGAAATTATGTTTTGTCCAATAGGATTGCAGCATTTAAAATGAATCAGTATACATTTACTTTGGTTAATTAACCAGTCATAGTTATTTTTTTATGAAAAAATACATCTTCACCAATCAGAGAAATGCATTTCAAAGCCATTTATAGATCATATAATAAATATATATTATATACATATCACCAAACATAACACTACATACATGAAATATTTCTTTTGTTCTTTTTGGCAGGAAGGATTTCATCAAAGTATAGCCTACTTAAATATACAGGTTTGTTATCAAGTTTTTTCATTCCTCATTTTATGTTGATTATATATTAAAGCTGCACGTCGACTAGGGATGTCATGTTTCTCCGTTTAAACGGAAATGGTCGGTTTTTTTAGCTAAAAGCCGGTTAGAAAATTCAATAACTGGTAACCAAGGATAGTATTTGACTAAGGGATGGAACAGTTTTAAATTGATTCTAAATATTACCTTAGTTTTTTATGACAAGATATATGACAATTGTTTGTATTTTAGTTGTACTCAACAATGTATTTTTCTGATGTGATCGATATGCGATACGATCCTAGCGGAAAATAGTTACTCCTTATGCAGATATGTATTGTAATCATTTTGAGTACAATAAAATGTGAACAAAATGGCATATCTTCTCATAAAGAAACAAAGTTAATGTTGAAAATCTTAAGATTTTATAATATGGTCAATTAAATGTCAAACGTATAACACGGTTATTACGTCGCCATTTAAAGCATTTAGCATTTTTTCTAACCGTGACACCCCTGACTTACCAAGAATGTTGAAATAGCAGTTTATTATAAATCCTAGGAATTTATTCAAAAGTGCTCCTTGAATATATAATCCAGAAGTAAAATTTAACAAAAGTAATGAAAATTCTTTTTATTTTTAATGTTTAACAATTTCTTTGTACTATAATTAACACCTGTTTGGAAAATATAACACCCCTATGCTCTTACTGGAGATTATATGGTAATAACAGATGACTATGTTTTATATAGAAAAAAAGAAGAATATTTTTTTTATAAGATGAAACTGTATTGACACAAATTTTATAATAACCATATTTTTAGCCAGTTTTTCAATGAAAACCTGTTATTCATTTAAATGTCGTAGTCAGCAGACGGGCGGGCTTCAACTTTTGGTTTCCGCTCAATAACTTAAATTTGCTGAAGCCTATTGACGCCAAACTTGGTGTATAGATAGCTTAAATCAAGAGGCAGCTTGGGATTGCTACCCAGGTGTCTGTGATCAAGGTCAAGGTAACTGTTACTAAAAATAGAGATTCAGGTTCTGCTCAATAACTTGAGTTAGCTTTGGCCTGTTGACAGCAAATCTGGTGTGTGAGTAGCTCATATAAAAATCAAAACCCCGATGTTTGGGTCAAGCAGGCCCTGTTCTAAAAATAAAAATTCAGTGTTGCCATGAAAGGGCGGGGGGAATTTTCTTTGAAATTTTCTTCGGCCTTTTGAAAACCAAAAATTTTGGGATGTGGGTAGTTTAATTTTCAAGATCAACGGGAATTTGGGGACCCCGGTGGTCTGTGAACAAAGGAAAAAGGGACCTTTTTGCTTAAAAAAAGAAATTTGGTTTTTTTTGTTATAAAAACCCCCCAGTTTTTTTTAACCTGTTGACAAACCCAAATTGCTCTGTGGGGTAGCTTTTATTAAGCTGCATCTTTTTGGGGTTGCCCACTTAAAATTTGGGAGCAAGGTTAAGGCATTTGCTTACAATAAAAAATGTTTTAAAATTTTTACACCCTTTACTTATTTTATACTTTTACTTGGCATGGTTTTGGGACTTAATGAAAAAAACAGCCCGGGATTGCTACTCGGGTATCTGGTATATTTTTATTTTGAACTATTGAAACCTTTCCCCGTGTTGGGTACAAAAATAAAAAGCATAATTTTTTTTTCATTGCCATACTTTATTCCTAATTACTGTCACTTCAAACTACTTGGTTCTTTTGAAAACCTGTTTTTTGGTCGGGTCAATTGCGGCGCTTTCTTCTTACTTAAGTTGTTAAAATCTCATGAAGGAAAAGGCCTTTCTGCATTATTTTGGGTTTAAACCATATTTAAAAATTATACCCCCACAAACTAGAAGTTTAGGGGGGGTATATTAGGAGTCCCAGCTTGTCGGTTGGTCGGTCGGTCCGTTCCCGTCGGTCGTCTACCACATCATGGTTTCCGGACTGAGATAACTAAGAGTTGTGGAATGAGGTATTGTAATCAAACTTGGTATAGTAGCAACCTTATGTGGAAACCCGGTTTGGTATTGCATTTGGACCCCCTGGGGTCAAGGTCAAGGTCACTGTTACTAAAAATAGAAAAAGGTTTCCGGACAATAACTAGAGTTAGGAATGAGATATTGTTATCAAACTTTGCGTATAGCAAGCTTAATATGAAGACCTGGGTTGGTATTGCATTTAAGGCCCCCTGGGGTCAAGGTCATGGTTACTAAAATAAGAAAAATGGTTTCCGGACAATAACTTGAGTTAGGAATGAGATATTGTAATCAAACTTGGTGGTATAAGCAAGCTTATATGAAGACCTGGGTTGTTATTGTATTTGGACCCCCTGGGGTCAAGGTCAAGGTCCACTGATACTAAAAATAGAAAAATGGTTTCTGGACAATAACTAGAGTTAGGAATGAGATATTGTTATCAAACTTGGTGTATAGCAAGCTTATATGAAGACCTGGGTTGGTATTGCATTTTGGAACCCCCTGGGGTCAAGGTCAAGGTCACCGTTACTAAAAATAGAAAAATGGTTTTCCGGAGAATAACTTGAGTTAGGAATGAGATATTGTAATCAAACTTGGTTTATAGCAAGCTTTTTATATGAAGACCTGGGCTTGTATTGTTTTTGGACACCCTGGGGGTCAAGGTCAAGGTCACCATTACTAAAAATAGAAAAAAATGGTTTCCGGACAATAACTAGAGTTTGGAATGAGATATTGTTATCAAACTTGGGTGTATAGCAAGCTTATATGAAGACCTGGGTTGGGTATTGCATTTGGACCCCCGGGGTCAAGGTCACCATTCCTTAAAATAGGAAAAATGGTTTCCGGACAATAACTAGAGTTAGGAATGAGATATTTGTAATCAAACTTTGGTGAAAAGCAAGCTTATTTGGAGACCCCAGTTGGGATTACAATTTATTGAAATATTTCTTTGTACACAGTTGATAGTTTGTGTTGAAATTTTTCTTCTACTTATTTTTCAAAAAGTTGCTGGTGGGGGTATTAATCACCTTCAGTGATAGGTCTAGTTTAAGCTGGAGTGTGAAACAAGTTCTTGCAACTTATATTAATCACATTCTAGTCCGCTTTCGGAACCAACCAGTACTTGTGGCATATTAAGAAACATGGTCATGACCTGATTAGGGCTAGAACCCATGATTCCTGGGTTGAGAGGCAGACACGTCAACCACAAGGCCACAGCTAACCTGCATTATTTTGACACATACTGTACAATTTCTCCAGACAAAGCAGGTTGAATTGAAATATTTGTACTCTTAGAATGCACAATTGTTCACTATGGGTGCCAACCGTTTATACGAAAGATTGTTAAAAGGACTCCACTGAGGTTTTTTGATATGAAGGGACTGGAAACAATTTTTGAGATTATTACTCCATTTGTTGTAGATCTATACTAACATATGTGCAAAATATCAGATCAATAGCTCGATCATTTTTTCCAGAATAATTATTACAATAGTGAAAAATGACCAAATTGAAAAAAAGCATTTCAACGCTTTTTTACCCAAAATCAGACTGAGAATAGCAAAAACATACTATTAAATCAACGTATTATTTCTTAGTTATATTTATTATTTCTGTTTTAAAGTGCTTGTGTTGATCTAATGTGAAAAAATTGAAATTTTCAATGTTTTTAATCCTTATTAACCTCAGTGAGTTCCTTAATGTTTTATAAAACCTCAGTGGAGTTCCTTTAATGTTATCATTTATAAGGGTTTGATATAGAAAGATGTTCTTGTAGGTGCTGTGACGTTGGGTTTTATGATAGGGAGAGCATCTCTTCCAGGCCAAATTGCGCGAGAGCTAGCGTTACGTTGCCCGGAAGGTGAATTTATGAAACTGAATGAAAAAATGAATAACCTGCCTGCTGAAGAAAGGAGAAACCTTCTTACAAAGTAAGTATCATTTCCTTGTTACATAGTTACACACTTTTAAACCGCCTCCGTGGTCCAGGGGTTAGAGTCGATGACTTTAAACCCCTTTCCTCTCTGGGTGGGGTTTGATCCCCGGGGGATGCTTTAGTAGTTTTTGCAACGGGGGAAGGAAATCTAGTAAATTGGGGTAACTCTCCAAGGGAAAGATGGTTAGGAAACCCACCCCCCCTATAGACTGAAATAACCCGTTTTTGGGAAAAATTTTTAAAATGAAACAAAAAAACAAAACAAACACACTTTTAAAGGAAAATTTTTCAATAATTTTCATTATTTAAAATGATAACTTTTAGATTTTTTATGCCCCCCCTTTCAAAAAAAAAAGGGGGGAAAATTGCTTTTGCACCCTTTTCGGGGCCGTCGGTCCGAACCAAAGGGTTTTTCCCATGATAACTAAAAAAAACCCTTAGGTAGGGAAACCAAAATTGTAGGGGGATTTGGGCATGACCAGTAAGGGGAAATCCCAAGGGGTTTTGGGGGCAAAAAGGGGGAAAGCCAAAGGGCACATTGAGAGACCTTGAGTAAACAAAAACATTTATATATCAATAACTAAAGAACCTTAAGGCCTAGGAACTTCAAAACTTGGTAATGGTGATTGGTCATGAATCAGTTAGATGACCCCTATTGAAAATTTTGGGGTTCAAAGGGGTCAAAGGTCAAGGTCACATTTGACCTTGTAAGCAAAACGGGTTTCCGATCAATAACTAAAGAACCTTAAGGCCTAGGAACTTCAAACTTGGTATGGTGATTGGTCCAGATCAGTAGAATGACCCCTATTGATTTGGGGTCAAGGGGTCAAAGGTAAGGTCAACATTGACCTCTTGGGATAAAAAACGGTTTCTGACCAATAACAAAAGAACCCTTAAGGCCTAGGAACTTCAAAACTTGGTATGGTGATTGGTTTTAATGACCAGCAGCTGACCCCTATTGAATTTTGGGGTTAAAGGGGTCAAAGGGTCAAGGTCACATTGGACCTTGGTAGGTAAAAAACGGTTTTCCGATCAATAAACGAAAAGAACCCTTAGGCCTAGGAACTTCAAACTTGATAATGGTGATTGGTCATGGATAAAGTAGAATGACCCTAAAATTGATTTTTTGGGGTCAAAGGGGTCAAAGTCAAGGTCCACATTGGACCTGCTTAGGTTAAACGGTTTCCGATCAATAACTAAAGAACCCCTTAGGCCCCAAGGGGACTTTCAAACTTGGTATGGTGATTTGGTCAACCAGCAGATGGACCCCTATTATATTGGGGTTAAGGGGTCAATGGGCAAGGTCACATTGACCTTGTAGGTAAAAAAAAATGCTTTTTACAATCCAATAACTTTTAAAAAACCCTTAGGCTTAGGGAACTTCAAAACTTGGTATGGTGATTGGTCATGACCAGAGATGCCTATTGATTTTGGGGTCAAAGGGGTCAAAGGTCAAGGTCACATTGACCTTGTAGGGTAAAAATGGTTTTTCCGATCAATTAACTAAAAAACGCTTAGGCCTAAAGGAACTTAAACTTGTATGATGATTGGTCATACCAGCAGATGACCCCCCTATTGAGTTTTGGGTCAAGGGTCAAGGTCAAGGTCACATTGACCTTGTAAGTAAAAACGGTTTCAGATCAAAAACTTAAGAAACGCTTAGGCCTAGGGAAATTCAAACTTGGTATGGTGATTTGTCATGACCAGCAATTTACCCCTACTGATTTTGGGATCAAGGGGGGTCAAAAGTCAAGGTCACATTGACATTGTAAGTAAAAAGGGTTTCTGATCAATAACAAAAAGCTTCGGGCCCCCCCCCCCCTAGGGAAAGAACTTCAAAAACTTGGCATGGTGATTGGTCAGGACCAGCAGATGACCCCTATTGATTTGGGTCAAAGGTCAAGTCACATGACCTTTGTATGTTAAAACGGTTTCTGATCCAATAACTAAAGAACCCTTAGGCCCTAGGAACTTCAAACTTGGTATGGGTGATTGGTCATGACCAGCAGATGAACCTATTGATTTTGGGGTCAAGGGGTCAAAGGGGTCAAGGTCACATTGACCTTGTAGTAAAAAACGGTTTCCGATCAATTAACTAAAAACCTTAGGCCTAGGAACTTCAAACTTTGTATGATGATTGGTCGTGACCAGCAGATGACCCCTATTGAGTTTTGGGTCAAGGGGTCAAAGGTTAAGGTCATGACCAGTAGATACTTGATAACCCTTATTAATTGTTTGATCACTGGGTCAGAAGTCATGCATAATAACCTTATCACATGACTAATTGGCTGCAGATAGGGGGCATACATGTTTTACAAACATATCTTGTTCATGTATAAATTTTAAGTCTTAAACGAATGACCCATTTCAAGCTTATCAAGTAACTTGTACGACTGAGTTATACAATGTAGTATTACCTAATATTAAGTCACATCATTACTGAAACAGACATATGGAGATTTTCCAGCTTACTTGTGGAGGAAGACCTTGGGTGCCCCTCTGCTCAATTTAAGACAGGAGCAAATACCTAAGTAGAAAACCACTGACATACCGAAAGCTAGCTGAATAGCTTTATTACATGAAAGAATTCAAAATATCTAATGAGATGAGAACAACAAACTGTGGTGAGGGGAAAGTTGTTTGAAGCCAAGGACGTTAACCACTAGGTCAAGGACTCCCTCATTGCTTTAAGAAAATAACAGCACACTGGTATTGTAATAACAGGAAAATGTCTAACTGTAAATTAGTTGAACTTAGCGTGACTTTTCAAAGAATAGGGAGAGCTATAATTGTACTCACCAAGTTATTTAGGCATCAGCATCACCATTTGGTTTAGTTTTTTTTGTGTGCAAGTTGATATTTTCAAGCCCCGCTATATGGTGTTACACTGTATCGTCATCATCAGTTTCCCCTCATTATCTTGGAATCAGTTGCACATATTCAACTTAAATTTGGTAAAAAAAGGATAAACAATCTTCAATGTTAAGGTCTTTGTAATATATGACAACATCTATACATTAATATGTTTTCAATGATGACAATTATATGTTGATATGTTTTCAATGATAACAGTTATATGTTGATATGTTTTCAATGACAACAGTTTTATGTTGACATATTTTCAATGATGACAATTACCTGTTGACATGTTTTCAATGATAACAGTTATATGTTGATATGTTTTCAATGACAACAGTTTTATGTTGACATATTTTCAATGACGACAATTACCTGTTGACATGTTTTCAATGACGACAATTACCTGTTGACATATTTTCAATGACAACAATTACCTGTTGACATGTTTTCAATGAAGACAGTTATATCTTGATATGTTTTCAATGACAACAGTGATATGTTTTCATTATATAGAATAAGGAAAGGTGAACAATTATCACAGGATTTATTGGCAGGATTCCAGTCAGCACCACAAGATGCTGAACAACCAAGTACAACAGAACCCGTGTTGGAATCCACAGGTAATGACATAAGTAAAGAGGGAGAGAAAAATGTTAAAGATGATAAAAAGGCAGGGGTGTCTGTGGCAGAGGGATTAATGACGATGTTTTCAAACCACTTGTGCCTCTCTGCTGTGGGTTCGAATTCAACCAGAGACTTGGGATTCTTTCATGTGAGGAAGTTATCCAGCTAGCTTACGAAACATTGATGGTTCTACTCAAGTGTGGGTTTCTCGCCTGAAATAATGTACAGAGGGGCATCTGAAGTCTTCCTGCTGGAAAGTCGCCATATGACCTATACTGTGTTGGCACAGTGTAAACCCCAACAAAAAAATGATTAAGAGGCAAACTTTCCACTTATTTCGTTATAAGTTTTATATGTTAAAACAACACCTCTGGTTTGTGAAATGGGAAGGAGCTGTGGGCATTGATTTATTTTTTTTTTAAAAGGGTTTTATTTAGTTAATCATGCAATACTATATTTGTATATCGAAAAAATTTACCAAAAAATTTCTGAATTTTTTAGGTCCTCTTTTGTTTATGAAACTTTCATACTGATAAAGCTATTGTCATATGGAAAAAAACAGTAATTTTTAGCTCACCTGTCACAAAGTGACATGGTGAGCTTTTGTGATCGCTTTTCGTCCAGCGTCCGTCCGTCTGTCTATAAACTTTTACTTTATACGACATCTCCTCATAAACCACTAAGCCAATGTCATCCAAATTTCACATTTTCCTTTGGTAGTCCATTTTAAAAATTGTTCAAAGAATTTAGTTCCAAGCAGAACTCTGGTTGCCATGGCAACCAAAAGAGAAAACTTAAAATATCATCTTTTAGAAAACCGAAAGTGCTAGAGCTTAAATATTTGGCATGAAACATCATCTAGTCAGTGTCTACCAAGTTTGTTCAAATAAAAGCCATGGGGTCAAAATTTGCCCCTCCCCAATAACTTGATCAAATTATGAATTCCCCCTTTCCCCCACCCCTCTCCCCAGGTATACCAGTAAACTCCTTTTTAGATTCTCATTTAACCCTTGTCAAAATTTTTGTGACCCCCTCTGGTAAAAAAATCCTGATCAATCTACACATGTGCATTTCTTTGTGGATCACTTGAAATTTTACGTAAATCATGCACTGGGGTAAAATTTGGCCCTGCCTATGATCAAGGTACTTACTTTAAGAATTGTTTTCTTTAGTTTTCAAGGTTGCACCATCTGTAAACTTTAGTGTTGACCTTGAATGTGACCTACCTCTGCATTAAAGTAATCATTACTTTTTCCAGCAGTGTAAAGTGTCCTAGTGTTTTCATGGCCTTCTTGTTTAAGTTATGGACAGTTTAAATCGCTTGTCGAGATTTGCATCTACTGTATAGCTATATGCCTCCAGATGAGTCAAAATATTTCAATAAAACAAACTTGAGAAAAATGTACTAAAATGTAAGGAAAAGTAAAAAGTTTCAAGATTCAAGTAATATTGTACATATGTGCGATTAATGACTGATTTTTCAGTATTTACAACTAAATTTCTGCCGTGTTATTAACTCAGTAAAGGCTATTTGTGCATATTTTGACCACTTTTCGGTAATTTATGTGGTTTGTAAGTGCCATTGATTATGTTTAAATTGCTTCCCTTCGGTTACTTCACAATATTACACATTCAAATACAATTTCAAATTTTTCATGTAAATTAGTATGAATCTGGAGGCCTGCTGCTTTAAGAAATTGTAAGCTATAGCTTTCAATCTTGGAACTGTTTATCAGATAAATAATATATGAGCCGCGTCACGACAAAACTAACGTAATGCGTTTGAGACCAGCATGGATCCAGACCTGCCTGCGCATTCGCGCAGTCTGATCAGGATCCATGCTGTTCGCTTACAAACCCTATAACAAGTAGAGAAAGTGATAGCGAACAGCATGGATCCTGATCATACTGCGCGAATGCACAGGCTGGTCTGGATCCATGCTGGTCGCAAACCCATTATGTTGGTTTTGTCATGACGGGGCTCAAATATGGAAGATAACATTTATAATTTTCATGTAAATTTTAACAGATCAACAAGCAAGTGGAGGACAACCTCAAAAGACAGATTCTGATAAACCTTCGTTTTCCTATGCTGAACAGAGGGGAAATTATAATAATAGTGCTTCAAGAAACATAAGTAAGTGAAGATCTATGTGACAGCACAGGCACATACCGTTTTTTGGTCACACTGACTACAAATGTGCTCAGAGGTGTGCTTTTTTGAACGACCATACTTCTTTGATGTCCACTATTTCTTTAAAATCAACATCTTCTGAACTACTTGATAGATTTTGATCAAACTTCATTGGAATTATATTTAGGTGGCCCTCCAGAAAGGTTATATTAGTGGTTCCAGTCTAACGCATAAGTTGCTCACAGGAGCTTAAAATAAAAAAATTTAAAATCTGTTTCTCATACACTACAATGCCTAGAGCCTAGATATTTGGAATGTAGCATCACCTTGTGGCCCTCTACAAGTTAAATATATCAGGCCCTTGGGGTCAAGATGACTCCGCCCTAGAGTCACTTAATTTACATAGGCTTATATAAGAATGCATTTAAGTCTTTTATGAAACTACTATGTCCTAGACTCATATAGGAAAATACATTTAATTCTTCTTTTATGAAACTGCAATGCTCATAGCTAAGATATTTAACATGTGGCGTTGCCAAGTATACCTACACAGAAATGAAATAACTCCCAAGCCCCTCTAATATAGACTTGTATAGTATCATTGTCTTTAAAATCTTCTTCTCTGAAAGTACAAAGCCAAGAGTTTAGGTACTTTGCATGAAGCATCACATTTTTGTCCTCTAGAAAGATATAAATCATGCCCCTGGGGTCAAAACTGACCCCACACTGTGGCCAGTTAGTATATATAGAATTGTATAGTAAATGTATTAAAAAAATCTTTGAAATTACAATGCAGATAAATGATACAGATAAAATAAAAATTCTAAAAAAAAATTATGTTCATTCATGTCTTCCACAATGGCATAATTGAATGGCAATGGCCCTTCAGAATGTTGCAGAGGTTCTAACCGGTAGGGGACTTTTGTATTGCTTGCAATACTATGATAATTGCTTGTTTTATACAACATTTCCTTATTTACTACATATATAATTTCAAAATATTACATTTACATACTGTTACTTAGTTTGTTTGACTTTGACTTAATGTTATTTCTATTGTCAATTTGACTAATTTTTACATAATTCCAGAAATTAAGAATTTTTTTATGCCAAATTTCATATAGGTCAAGGGACTGCACAACCTCAAACTCCAGCCTCCGGTTCACCTTCATTTTCTTATGCTGAGCAGAGGGCTAAACAGAATTATCCTGAAACAACCTACAAAAGTAAGTTTAATTTTATATTAAGAGTATTCATGCAAGAATGCTCAATAACTTAAAGGGAGTCCACTGAGGTTTTCTGACATGACGGAATTTAAAGGAACTCCACTGACGTTTATAAGGCTAACATGAAATTTCAATTTTTCACATGGATCAACACAAGCTATTAAAACAGAAAAATTGATGAAATATAACTAAGAAATATACAAGAAATACATTGAAATGTGCTGTTCCCAGTCCGATTTGAGTAAAAAGGGTTTAAACTATATAAATATTCTTTTTATCAGATAAAGGGCCGTCCAATAGAGATCAAAGTAGTCCACCATCAGAACCACGTAGTATAGATTACAATTTTAGTCAACCTAATGACCGACCCGATAGGAAACCTACACCGGAAGACTTGCCGAGTTCATCAGGACATGCTAGAAGAGGTAATAATTATTGTCAGTATGATTTGTGGTTTATACTTGCCTGCCTGTATCTGCCAGGACATGCTAGAAGAGGCATACATGCCATAATCTCCTGGACCAAACTTGACAGAAATGATCTTTTGGAGGTCCTGAACCCAAGTTATCCAGTTATTTTCACATTCCTGCAGTACAGTTGTGTACACAATGTGATAAGTCATTGCAAAATTTAATCACAGGATATTTTTACAGGAACTCATTGTATATCAGGCCCCCCAACTCATGTAAGATAAGTCACATGTTTTAAATGATGTCATTCCCACATGCCTTTTATAAATGAATTGCGTTCTCAGGCATACATCATTTTGCCGTAATTAATGAAGTTGTAAGTAAAGACACAACTATAAGAAGAAAGTGCAAAATAAAAATATCAGTTTTTGTAATTTCTTTTCGGAATAAGATCGATGTAAGATGCAAGACAAAGAATCAAAAACTAGCTGTCATTACAGATAGGGATATCTAGCTCTCGGGGTAACTATTTAGTGGAAACTCAGCAGAGCCTCTTTGCCACCACAAACAGTTACCCTGGAGCTAGATATTTCAGTCTGCACCGGCAACCGGTGTAAGATTCTTATAAGCTTACAGCATTTTATACCAATACCCTCATTTTGGCCAATGGTCCCCCTTTTTTTCTTTTACATATGTTGCATACAAGCAACTTCTATTTTATGTAAAAGTTCATATTTTTTACACTTATTAAATATTTTTGTTATCTATTTTCAGCTCGGAGAAATCAATATGGTGATGAAATGGAATGAGAGATTGACTAAATCACTGATAAACAATTAGAACCCGATCCTAGGAATGTTGATGTCCGAATAATTCTACATGACTATGTTTGATACATGACTGTACAAGTGTCAATAAAATAATTTGTTAAATCCGTTTTACTTCATTTCTTAACAACCATGCTTGGAAGCCAATTTTCTATAATTGCACAGTACATTAATTTATAAAGTAAACTAATGTTTGTTTGGGTTTTAGGTCACACTGACACAGTATAGGTCATTTTGCAAGTTCCAGCTTTACTGGTGGAGGAAGACCTCAGGTGCCCTTTTGTGCATTATTTCAGGCACAAACGGGCACCTGAGTATAAATACTGACATTCCGTAAGCTAGCTGGATAGCTTCCTCACATGAAAGAATCCAAAGTCCCTGTCGGGATTCAAACCCACAGTGGTGAGGGACAAGTGGTTAGGAGTCAACTACCTTAACCACTCGGCCACGGACGCCCCTGAATTTATTGTTATTCCAATAAATTTAGAAGTACAAGAACAGTGCTTTAATGAATGAATAAATCAGAAGTAATTTTGAAATAAGAATAGTTTTTTTTACTGTCTGGAAAACAGTATTGGGCTATATTTAACTGGCAAGCTAAAAGGCTGATTTTTCTTCTACTGTATAAGTGGTTAATTTTGCGATGTGGAAATATTTACGATTTTCGCGAATTGAAATTATTCGCAAATATTATTTTAATCGTGCAAAAATTTTTTCTTTTTGGACAAACTGTCTTCCATTATTTGAAAAAATATTTTCATACAGCATCTTACATGATAAAGTTTGACTGCTCAGGCACTGAGATTATTTTTTCTCATTACATAATCCCCTCCAGACAAAATCCCCTTCTCATACCCAGACATAATCCCCTTCATGTTTTTGCAAGGCTGGACAAAGTCCCCTTACCTACCAGTACAAAATCCCATTGTTTCATAGGTTTCTAATGTATTATTATGCTCCATAAAAATTGATGAATAATGTATTATTATGCTCCATAAAAATTGATGAATAATGTATTTTTATGCTCCATAAAAATTGATGAATAATGAACGTTATAATTATATAAGCTTGATAGGACATTTTTTTTTATTTGTTCAGATCAATTATCAACCAAATTATCAAATTAAAGGTATAGAAAAAACCTTTGAACATCTACTGAACTAATTGATGGATGATCACCAAACTTTGTCTGTAGCATTCTTAGGTAGTCATTTATCAAGTTAGCTCATATTTATTTGATTGGCCACTTTTAGTGGCCACTAAAGCTAAAAATAGAAAACCTTTAATGGTCTGCTTCTACAGAACTTAATGATGGATGATCACCAAACTTTGTCTGTAGCATTATTAGGTAGTCTTTTATCTTTCACTGAAAAGCAGTTGTTTCTGGTGAGCGACTCAGGGCCATTATGGCCCTCTTGTTAAATTTCAGGTAACATTTGTCCAACCTCAATGAGAGATACCAGAACCATGCAACATCACAGGGTAACCGACCCATCAGAATTTGTGCTTTATGACAATGGTGCAGCCGGTGATAGATCTGCAGTAGTGATACAGGAATGGATCTTTTAGTAGATAGGGATACTTGGTTTATGGACGGTGCTCATGATACAGCTCCTGGACAGTTCACACACCTATTTGTGATACGTGTTCCACATTTGCCAATAATTGTCATGATTGTATGAGAGTTGATAATGCTGATTAATATAGACAGTGTACATTGTTGACTCAGATAAAAGTGTACATTTTTGTCTCAGATCAAAGTGTACAATTTTGTCTACGATCAAAATGTACAATGTTGTCTCAGATCAAAGTGTACATTGTTGTTTCAGAACAAAGTGTACATTGTTGTCTCAGATCAAAGTATAAATGTTGTCTCAGATCAAAGTGTACATTTTTGTCTCAGATCAAAGTGTACGATGTTGTCTCAGATAAAAGTGTACATTGTTGTCTCAGATCAAAGTGTACTATGTTATCTCAGATCAAAGTGTTCACTGTTGTCTCAGATCAAAGTGTGCATTGTTGTCTCAGATCAAAGTGTAAATGTTGTCTCAGATCAAAGTGTACATTATTGTCTCAGATCAAAGTGTACAATGTTGTCTCAGAACAAAGTGTACATTGTTGTGTCAGATCAAAGTGTATATTGTTGTCTTAGATCAAAGTGTATATTGTTGTCTCAGATCAAAGTGTACATTGTTGTCTCAGATCAAAGTGTGCATTGTTGTTTCAGATCAAAGTGTACATTATTGTCCCAGATCAAAGTGTACAATGTTGTCTCAGATCAAAGTGTGTCTCAGATCAAAGTGTATATTGTTCTCTCTGATCAAAGTGTACATTGTTGTCTCAGATCAAAGTGTACATTGTTGTCTCAGATCAAAGTCTACATTTTTGTCTCAGATCAAAGTGTAAACAATGTTGTCTCAGATCAAAGTGTACAATGTTGTCTCAGATCAAAGTGTACACTGTTGTCTCAGATCAAAGTGTACAATGTTGTCTCAGATCAAAGTGTACATTATTGTCTCAGATCAAAGTGTACAATGTTGTCTCAGATCAAAGTGTGCCTCAGATCAAAGTGAACATTGTTGTCTCAGATCAAAGTGTACATTGTTGTCTCAGATCAAAGTGTACATTTTTGTCTCAGATCAAAGTGTACGATGTTGTCTCAGATAAAAGTGTACACTGTTGTCTCAGATCAAAGTGTACATTGTGGTCTCAGATCAAAGTGCACACTGTTGTCTCAGATCAAAGTGTACATTATTGTCCCAGATCAAAGTGTACAATGTTGTCTCAGATCAAAGTGTGTCTCAGATCAAAGTGTATATTGTTCTCTCTGATCAAAGTGTACATTGTTGTCTCAGATCAAAGTGTACATTGTTGTCTCAGATCAAAGTCTACATTTTTGTCTCAGATCAAAGTGTAAACAATGTTGTCTCAGATCAAAGTGTACAAAGTTGTCTCAGATCAAAGTGTACAATGTTGTCTCAGATCAAAGTGTACATTGTTGTCTCAGATCAAAGTGTACATTGTTGTCTCAGATCAAAGTGTACATTGTTGTCACAGATCAAAGTGTACATTGTTGTCTCAGATCAAAATATACATTGTTTTCTCAGATCAAAGTGTACATTTATTCTCAGATCAAAGTATTCATTGTTGTCTCAAATCAAAGTGTATATTGTTGTCTCAGACCAAAGTGTACCTTGTTGTCTCTGATCAAAGTGTACATTGTTGTCTCAGATCAAAGTGTACATTGTTGTCTCAGATCAAAATATACATTGTTTTCTCAGATCAAAGTGTACCTTGTTGTCTCAGATCAAAGTGTACATTGTTGTCTCAGATCAAAGTGTACATTGTTGTCTCAGATCAAAGTGTACATTGTTGTCTCAGATCAAAGTGTACAATGTTGTCTCAGATCAAAGTGTACATTGTTATCTCAGATCAAAATGTGCATTGTTGTCTCAGATCAAAGTGTACATTTATTCTCAGATCAATTCTCAGTTTTCTGTATACATTATTGTCTAGAAATGATTGAAGTTATGCAAAGTCTGTGAATTTGAAATTATTTATCTGTTAGGTAACTGAATTACAGGAAAAAATAATCTGTTGAAATTCCTGTGATAGTTGTTTACTTTATATATATATATATAATAGAATCATTGTTTCTAATATATGTAATCAATAATTCAATAAATATGTTTTATATTTGTTTTATTATCAATTCCAACAAACTTGTCTATTTTGCTGTAATACATGACCTTGCTAAGTATGGAAGGAAATCGTCACTGGATTCATCACGATAGAAAGTTATCTAGCTAGCTTACGGAAGTCTGTGGTTCTACTCAGGTGTCCGCTTTTGTCTGAAATTAAGTACAGAAGGGCATCCGAGGTCTTCCTCCACCATGAAAGCTGGAAAGTCGCCATATGACCTACATGTATACTGTTTTTTTGCGACGTAACCCCCACCGCACAAATAAACAAATCTTTCTATCCAAAGCAAATGTCTTGATTTGCTTAGAATGTATTTGAAACACTCCACAACTGCAGCTTAAATTGCAGCTACAGCCGTGCTGGACCTAATCTGACCTTGTGCTATATTAGAAATATGGATGTGGCTCCTGTTGAGCTCAAACCCACAGTAAGACGCAGAACTCTAACCACTTAAATCATTAAGCAGTCATTCTCATCAAAGTAAATAACTTGAAGAGAAAATGATATATTGATTCCATAGCTTTGAATCTGCCGAGACTGCCACCAATGTTAAGATCAAGAACTTAAAGAAGGCTGTTAGTTTTACCAAGTTCAGGTTTGCAAAATGGTTCTAATTCAAAACAGGAAACCTGTTAGTCATGCAAGAGAAAAAAGAAGCCTGGTATTAGTTTAAGGCTCGATTCGGGCTTCGAAATCCTAACTGTCTTGCACAACTAGTAAGTTTGTAAGGAAGATAGCTTAGGAATATAGCTATACATTTAATTCAGCGTAAAGAATGGATTGCATTTATACTGATATACTCGTACAGTGGCATTGCTGTACATTTTTATGAAGTCGAAAATGTTAATGACTAGTAGAAATAATTATTACTAATAATAAGGTATAACATAATAAATTTTACTTGATTATCATGAAAGCTTGAATCATAATTTAACTACTCCCGATTGTGCCCTTTCTGGAACCAGGCTTTCATTGCTTTACAAGCTTAGCTAGAACTAACTACAATTGGTGTTACTCGAGGAAATACGAGTGTCTTCAGTGAGGCTCAAACTCGTAACATATTTATACGAACGCAGTCATCTTAACAACTTAAATCACTAGGCAGCCTTTTCTCATCGAAGTGAACTGACATGGACATGTAAGTACATGTATAGAGGATATTGAATGAGTGTAAGTTCAATACTGAATTTTTTGCACGAGTTGAATAAAATTACATTATGCGAGCCTCTGGCGAGCATAATATTATTTTATTCAACGAGTGCAATAAATTCAGTAATGAACTTACACGAATTTAATATTCTATTTATCACATACCCAAAATAAAGACCGTTTAAAGTGAAATAAGATAATTTTCATTGACGCGCCTATAGTATAACGCTAATATTCAGCGCGTCTTTACACTA